TATATATATATAGCAAGCTCTTATAGTTTGTTCATAAAGCACAACTATCTTGTGTCTGAATAGGCAGCAAGATTTTACTAGGAATAACATCACACAATGGCTGTCACTTTCTATAACACTCAAATAACATTATGTAAGCAGTTCATGTTTTTATTTTTTGGGAGCCTAACACATCACATCTGTGTCCAGGGGTGTCACAGTCTCTAAGCTGTGCAGGGGTGGTCCAGACATGGGTGTGTGTGGACAGTGACTCCCTGGTCCCTGAAACATCTCGAATTTATGCTGGTTGAAGTCACCCTTTGTGCTTATTAAGCACAGGTAGAAGATCTCTGGCTTCAGTTCAGCCCCATTCAGCTTAATGCTAATAGTCTAACTGGATCATGTATTGCTGGGCATTTTTTTCCCCTCAGACACACAGTCTGTCTTAGAATTTCACATATTATTACAGATCAATCTGAAATTCTTAGCCAGTTTTCAGCATCCATCTAAGAAATATTTTGAAAAAATGATGGTCTCCATAATATGCTATATAGTACATAAATGTGTTTCCTAAAGCTGTGCTCATGTCTTATCTCTCAAAACTCAAATGATTTATTCCAGCAGGATAATGTACAGTCAGCTGGTCATTATAAAATAAACTCAAATCGGGTGATACAATATCTGATCAGGCTGTCAGTACACTACACTGCTTATTACATGCCAATTACCAAATGGCAGATGTAAAATACAATAATTATCCAAATAAAATCCAGGTGTACCATTTAACTCACTATGCGTATATTATTATTTCTTCATCAGTAAATTGGGTATTTTAGGCAATAGTTTTATGCCATGAACCTATCTATCCCCTGATAGCACACGTACATCTTGGAGACGTCTGCATTTACATCTGCAAGACGTTTTTTTTAGAGTGTTTGCTCATCTGCAATGCGTCTATAGGACGTTTCCTTTTAGATGTCAAATAGATGTCTATTAGATGTCTTTAAGATGTTTATGATTTAGAATGTATGTAAAACTGACATCTGAAAGACGTCTGTCAGACGTTTGTAGACAGCAGATGCTTTCCAGATCAAGAGATCTTTATCAGACATCTAGCAGACGTACATATGCTATCTGGGATCTATCTATCTATCTATCTATCTATCTAATAAAACAATGATTTTTCTAACAGTTTTCCATAACTCTGATGGTCATTGAGACACATCTAATTTTGGTTTTGGGTGAACCCAGTTTCTAAAAAGACTATTTACAATAATGTAGGCTACTGACAAATCTAATAACATGTAATCAGTCATGACGAATACTCTCAAATTTTCTTTGTGCTCATTGAAAATTCACGGTAATGGAGGCCGAAACAAATTTGCAGAAGATTCCATTATTTTGCTTCTATGGACATCGAATGGCTTCAAATGACTGCTAGGAAGCTTTAATGATAAACTGAATAAGACAATGACCCTCACCCTCGGGTTTGTGAATATTAAAACCCATGACTCAGGTAGAGCAGATATCCTTGTTGTTTTATTGTTGACCTTGGTAGTGATATTTTAGCTACGATATCAGACAGAGAACATCTTTGATTTGTATGTCCCTAAAACAACATATTTATTTCACTCAAGCATTTTAATTCAATCTAATTTGGACTCGTGAACGGTCCTCTCTGGCGCCCTCATAAATATTCTCCTCAGGACCTCAGCACGTCTCACGGACACACAGCGTATATAGCAGCTAGATTTCCCCGCAAACATGCATATGTCGCGATACACCTGTCATCCGTGGTTTATCATTTAGACTAATAGATTGAATTGGTTTAAATCTTACCTCATGTTCAGCATTTGTTTACTGGGCGTGGAGGCGCTGCTGTCTTTCTCTGTGGAGATGATGCCCTGCTTTCAGTGATGCTGCGCGCTCTGATGTCACGCCTCTCTCTCCCTCCCACACACATGCGCTTTCTTCTTCTCTCTCTTTTCAGTTTTTTTTTTCTCAAACGTATATATTTGAAAGAAAAATATGCATTTACCTCAACTTGCAAACGTAGCTCTGTCGAGAAATGCGGTTGCAATATTATTAAGATGTGTCACATTGTCTTGTTTCTTTATTAAAAATAATAAATAACCTAATAGTAATGTTTATTTTTAGAATTCTTTAACATGTACATATGATATATAGCTTTTTATACAAGCTGTTGTGTAAACAGGTGAACACAATAAAACCACTTTCAGTCAAGAGTCAGCTCTGTATGTAATGAAGGTGCAGTTTGAATGAAATGTAAGACTGCATGGTCAAAAAAAAAGTTTTTTTTTTTCCATTAGGCCTACTTTCAGGCTGAGCTGTCACAAATATGTTATGAATTTATCAAATTTATTCATTTTGATTGATTAATAATGATAATAAACAATAGGCATGTTTGTAGGCCAAAACAAAGGTTTTGTATTACCTTTTATTTTGCTGTTTGTGTTGCATAGATGCATTACTGTTTTTGTAAGTTATTTTTTTAAAAGCTTTTTTAATGGCTCCATTAAGACAATACCGTATATGCTGTATTGTGACAACATGTCCTGATATTGGTCGACATACATATATTATACATATATTTTCCCCCATGCAGTAATGCTGAATATGTTCAGAAGATTTTTTTTTTCAGTTGACTTTAAAGGGGTCATATGATGCGATTTCAATTTTTCCTTTCTCTTTGGAGTGTTACAAGCTCTTGGTGCATAAAGAAGATCTGTAAAGTTGCAAAGACTAAAGTCTCAAATCCAAAGAGATATTCTTTATAAAAGTTCAGTGTCAGCCACACCTACCTAAAACGGCTCGTTCTAACACGCCCCATTCTCACTGTAGTATTGTTGCCGCCGCCATATCCTGAAGACGGCGTAACATTTCCGTCTCACGCTTGAGGTATTCGCTTTTCACAATGCATTGGATAGCTGGCCAATCACAGCACACCTCGCTTTTTCAGACCGATGAGCTTTGTAAAAATCGATGCGTTTCAGAAAGGCGGGGCATAGTGGAGAAACAATAATGTACAGTATGTGGAAAATAATGTGTTTTTTTAACTTTAAACCGCATAAACACATTTCATTACACCAAATACACCAAATAATGTTCTTTTTAGCAGCATCATATGACCCCTTTTTAAGGTTAAAAAAAGAGATACAGTTCAGCACTCATGGGTCGTTTGTGACAATATAGCCTACTCCAATATTGAAAATACAAAACTATTACGGAACAATACAGATGTGTTTCTGGAGGACGGCAATAGTTATGTCATGGGTTAACATTCAAGAGAAAAACATGCTGATGAACTCATACCTTGAATTTACTGTCATTTTAGATACAAGTGTCTATCAAATGCACAAATATCAAACTATTGACTTCTACTGTTCTCTTGGACAGTGGCGTGCCTTTGGTGTCAAAAAGGCTGAGCATCATTATTTTGGAATGATTATGTTGAAATTATTGCTTTGTCGATTTATCAGAAAACCACTGGAGGGAGACAAATACTAGTTCACCAGTTAACAAAATCTTATTCTGACGACAAGATAAGCACACCTTATAGTTAAGGTGTGTCAACGCCTTGGAAGTCTGTTGTTGCGAGATGTAAATAGCTGAATGTTGTAATGCTTATAGTGAATTATATATTTTCTTTTTTCTTTTTTCATTAAAACTGCTGTCTTATTCGGAAGTGAAACGCGTTATTTATATACGTAGCGTTCATACGACCTGATTACATCAGCAGCAGGTGTGCCACGTATGACATCTGATCTCAAAAAACGTTTTATATATCGATGATTTAACCGTATGTATTATTTCTTAACCATATATATAGAGCGGGGTTTCTATACTATTTGTTTGTACAGGTGTGCCCTTAAACCACGCTTAAATAACAGGCCTCTTGCAGACCTACCCGTGCCTGAATTTCTGTTCCTTTATTTCTCTTATTGTAGAAAGTCTGATAGCTGAAACACTTTTTTCTTTATAGCTATTTTAAGATATTGTACTATTTTCATAATTCCGGTTCCTCCATCCATTCCAAGTGTGTGCCCATAGAGGAAATGTCGCGCACAAAATGGTGTTTTATTAATGTAACATGCCCCCTTTAGTGACGGAACAACGTTGTATGACCAACATGGCGTAGATGGAGAGCAGTTTAACGGTATAGAGCAGGTGGGGTTTTTGTTCTCGTCGTGTAACGGGACACAGGACGCGGGGGTGATGAGCCGCAAATCGCGTGCTTGCGTGCGTCAGAGAGGACGTGGTAGGACAGCTGGCCCGAAGAGCAATAACAGCATTTTCAGCGACATCGCTCGATTTACGCCATGCAAATAACACGAGAAGATGAAACGGGACTGGTACTATAGAGAATGTAAGACATTTGTCGTGTATCTGATCTCCTAATGCTTCCTATAATTTATGACTAACAAGATTTGGGACGTTGCTTCACAGTCGCCAGGTAAGAATACATCGCTTTTCACTAGATGTACATGCATAATTGTTTGATTATGTAAAGCGTTTAGATAAACGCGGCTTTCATGTATCGATACGCTCATGTCTTTGACGCACGTCCTTCTAGATTTTCGTGTGACGGACCGCAATAGCATCTTTGGTGCGCACAGCGACGTAATGACTTTGAGGGTCCCTTGCGGTTTGTTATTCATCGCCAGTGTGTGTGGACGATGCTCTTTTGACGACAAACAAGCGATTATCGACTTAAAAATGACGTTCGGTTCAGTGCGAATTCATGTGAATTACGCGCGGATGATGCATTTGTCTCCGCATGAATGTAAGTTAAACGAAATCTGAAATAGCGTATTCTGTTATCCACGTCCTCCCATTGTTTCGAAGTGCTTGTTCATTCAGGTTGCATGGCCTATATGTGCTTTATTACCCAACTGGCTGAGAGAAAATAACAGGATGCCTGTTTTGATTGTTGCCTAATTACAGCGTAACGCGCAATATTAACGCCAGTTGTAAGAGGAACCCCCGTTGATTAAGAGATGCGGACCATCTCGGATCTGCATTCCATCAGAGCTCCGAGGGGCTCAGGATCGAGCTTATAGAGTAAGAAAGTTGATGGGCTGTGGTATTTTTAGACATCACATGCGATAGACGTTTGCATGTCTCCTGTAGAAGCCTTTCATGCCACCTTAGTTACACATTTCCTCACCTCAAGATGTAGATTTTGAATTTTTATTATTTTTTTGGTGAAATATCCAAATAATCAGTTGTCCTATGAAGGGATCTGAGACTACATATTTTCGTTTAGTAATCATTCAACACTATAAATAGTTTCTTTCACCTCAGTGTATGAATAGGCTGCAATGATGTAAATTGAACCCACTGTTTTTGCCAGTTGGTTACTAGGGTAACTGACAGAAAGATGACATGCAACATTAGAAATATGCTGTTTTGGCTCAGTCTGGCTTCGTTTTCATCATTATCTCTGATGGCATCCTCTCACTCTTGTTTTTGCTCATTCTCTCCACCACTCTATACATACCCTCCAGGTCTGTTTCCACAGTAACCAGAGAATTCCCAGAGTTCCAAAAACGATGCACATCTGAGATGTTCCTGAGTAGCTCAGGGAGTATCTCTAATACATCTTAGGTGTTCAAAGGCCTGATGTTTCTACTTACATCACGCAAACTGGTACAAACCAGCAGAAAACAAATGCGATACCATCTACAGCGGAGCCTCAGTGGGAACAGCACACTCATGGCCAACCAAGCAGACTTTGGAATATTAACTGTTGTAAACTCACTGTAATTCATGGTTTAGAGTATTAGTGCTTTATGAAACAGAGCCAGCAACACCAATAGTTATTATATTTTATATGATATTAATAAGAGTAAAGCCCTGTTCACACCATGGACAATAACTGTAATGATAACAATAATAATATAGGTCTAATTCTAGTTGTCCACACCACAAATATTATGGAAACAACACAGGAGGGCAATATTGTTGGAATGATTTTCAGAACCAGAATGATTTTCAGATTTTTATTTTATTCTTTTTCTAGCTGATGAATGATAAAAACATTTTTAGCCAATCAGAATCTTTTAAAGAGCTTGCGTATTTAAAGTGGCAGGCAATATAACTGCAGCAAGCACTTAGAATAAACAGAACATTATCATGTGTTGGTGTGGACTCTCATGTATTATATACTATTATTATATTTATTGCTATTATCATTTTTATAGTTATCGTTCTTGGTGTGAATATGATTAATACTTAATACTTGGGATTAATATTTAATACTAGTAAAGCACTCGTATAGAAGCCTATTTCTGCCGCTTAAGAAAAGTAATGCTTTGATAATGATAATTTTGACATTAAACAAATGAGATGAAAAGTTGAAATTAAGACATTGAAAGTCATAATTATGAGATAAAAAGTCACTATGACAAAATGTTGACATTATGGCAAAAAAAACAAAAAATAATATACATTTTTTAATCAGTATGTTGATAAAATATATATGACTTTTTTATCTTATAGTTATGACTTGGTATCTCATTACTTTGACTTTTGTGTCTGTGGAGAGGACAGAAAGTACAGAAATGGTATCGCATTCAGTCATTTATTTATCTTGACTCTGGCATTTCTTTTTCATATGCCTGATCCATTGTTCTCAAAAGCACATCGCATCTCTCACAGTCTTGTGCATTAACTCCAATGGACAGGATTTGTTAAGCCTCTTTATAAAATGTCTGACCTTTACATCTGATCACAGTTTTACTATGATAGAAAACTAAATAATGGAATATGAGATGTATAAGGGCTTGACAAAACATCCTTAATATTCAAAACTTGCTTTCCACTGAGATTGCATCTTATGCTGCTGGCGAACCAAAGAGGAAGTCTTCAGTAAGAGGCTCATCTGGTCTCTGTTCATCTGAGTGATAATCATTACTGGTAATTCAGAAGTACCACTGAATTTTCCTCTGGGGCTGAGTAGATGTGAGCATTTTCCAGCTCTTAAACGCAGACCGCATTGGTCTGTTCTGTGTTTATCGATCTATGACAATCATGTGACAATTAGGCATTTGAGTAAATCTCTATTGAGGTAGTCAGGAAGTGGCCCCTGTCTCCAAATGCTGCAAGAATCCAGTAAGGTGCCAGAAATATCTAGTGTGATCTTGCTTTCCACAGGAGACTGAGTCCAACGGCTGCTTCACAGCAAGATAAATGAGCAAGATATCATTAATAGATGACCTTGATGCTGATGGCAGCAGAGACCGTCCTACTCAATTCACAAAGGCACACAGACATACACTCTTATGTATATATTTACACACACAGCGAGAGAGAGAAACATTCACGTCAGGAAAATGCTGACCATTCTCTTTCCATCCTTTCTATGTGGTTCACACCATCTGAGGCACAGTCACAATGTAAATGCATCTAAAGATACACATAATCTTTCATAGGTAAATAATAATGTCAGGCAACCCTGTTACCAATGGTGTCTTGTAGTATCTCATACAAACTGTCAAGAACGTCATATTTCACGTCTAAATAAAAAGAAAGAAATCAGAAATTATGTTTTGCTTTAATATTTGTTACACATTATTGGTGAAACTTCTGCGCCAGTAGTATCAAACTATCATTCCAAACACCCCTCCGTCTCTAGCTGGTCAGAAAATCAGAGAGTTCCGCCTCAGACGCACATTATTGGTTGAGCTGATGTTGATGTATTGAGCTAGTCCGGGTGCTCAGACAAACAGATCAATGTTTTGATAGTGCCACAGAGCCACAGTGTTTACACTTTTGGTGGAATCAACCTATGCTTACTTACAGCCATCTCTGCATATTAAGTTGGGTTATGGGCCCAGCCCTTCACATGCTGATTGCACATGCTCAGGAATAGCGTAGCTTCCTTTCCTTAATAGATTGATTGGAATAGACTAACATTTTAAAGTAAAAAAAGTGAGAATATTAAAAATATATAAAACATATAAAACAATCATGAGCACAGTATAATGTACTTGAGATGGCATGCAGATATATAATATATACAATGCAATTATAAAATTACATTTAAAATGAAAAAAAAAAACTTGAGTTAATTTTATTTGAATCCTATTTACATCATTAATATATTCATATGAAATACTTAAAATAATATAAAAATAACTATAATTCAATTAGTGTGTCAGTAGTGATTTTAATTGGCAGTTTATTTATGCCAATGGTTATTTAGATTTATTTTATTTAAATAATAATCGCAAGACATTTTCATGGGTTGATAATTATTCATTTTGTCATTTTGGTCATATGAGTAGCATATAACCAAAGTACACTATTGGTTGACCTTCAGTTCACACAGACAATGTAGTAGGTCACTTGGAGAAGAACCAAAGCAACCACTGCAATCACATGGCAATTTGTAACTACATTTTGGTGAATTGGTGGCTAATTCATATGAATTTGTACAATCTCATTTGTACGTTATCATATTATCTGATTACACCCCCAGTGATGTGATGTTTAGAGGTAGGGTTAGTGGTGGACCTTCATGCTTTTTTCAAATCGTACAACTTCATATGAAACCACCACCTCCTGTGAGATTCTGTGAGATTGGGTTGGAAGCACCAGTGCTGGTCTTCCTTTCTTTGCTAATAGATTGCTTGGAATAGACTGAAAGTATTTTTTTCTCTCTTCATTTGTGAACATCAGATAACATATATATATGTTATATATGTTAAAGAAAACACATTTTTACTCAAATTAAACAAAATGGATTTATAGCGTTTTGGAACCAAACTCTTCATATATATATATGAAGAGTTTGGTTCCAAAACGCTATAAATCCATTTTGATTAATTTGAGTAAAAATGTGTTTTCTTTACCAAGAAAGTGGCAAGATGAAAACCACTATTTTCTGTTTCAAACTTTCACATAGCATCTTTAGGTTATAATAACATAAAAAATTCAAATCCAGTTTTTGATTTTCAAAGATTTATTATAAAATTGTATTATTTTTTTCCCAAACTGCAATAAATCCATGACACATTTCCCCCCCCAAAATGCAATAAATCCATTGAGTCAATATAGAAGTTATTTTTCATATTGAAACTGTTGAAGATACACAACATAGTAAGTTGATCCACATATGACAGCCTCTGAACTTGGTCAATACTAATCTTATATACAGGCACTGGACTAAAAATACATTCTATCAGTCATCGCTCCATATATATATATATATATTGGATGCACTGTCTTAATGTGCATGTGTACCAAATGAAACGTTTTTCCTTTTTCAGATCTCAGGGAATAATTGAGTCTTAACCACCACATACCCCGACAAACCCAAGAAGCATGCCAGAGCAGAGCAACGATTACCGGGTGGTGGTGTTTGGAGCAGGGGGAGTGGGCAAGAGCTCCCTGGTTCTGCGCTTCGTTAAAGGCACCTTCAGGGACACCTACATCCCGACAGTGGAGGACACGTACCGGCAGGTCATCAGCTGCGACAAGAGCGTATGCACTCTGGAGATCACTGACACCACTGGCAGCCACCAGTTCCCTGCTATGCAGCGTCTGTCCATCTCCAAGGGCCATGCCTTCATCCTGGTCTACTCCATCACCAGCAGGCAGTCACTGGAGGAGCTGAAGCCCATCTACCAGCAAGTGCTGGCCATCAAAGGTAACGTGGAGAACATCCCCATCATGCTTGTTGGCAACAAGAGTGACGAGACCCAGCGCGAGGTGGAGACCAAGGAGGGGGAAGCTCAGGCAAACATCTGGAAATGCGCGTTCATGGAAACATCAGCCAAGACCAACACCAACGTGAAGGAGCTTTTTCAAGAGCTCCTGAATCTGGATAAGAAGCGTGATATGAGTCTGAACATGCGCTCCAGCAAGCAGAGACGTGCAGACAAGCTGAAGGCCAAGTGCAGTGTGATGTAAGAGGCTGGATCCACGATCGCATCACTCAACGTGTAACTGACTTCTCGAAAATGTACATAAGTCCCTCACCTTAAAGGAACAGTATGCATAAAAAATGAAACTTCTGTCATCGTTTACTTATTGTCCTGTCATTTTAATCAGGGTTGTCCTTAGGGGGGTGCAACTGGTGCAGTCGCACCGGGCTCCGCACTTGTGGGGGCCCCGCGGCGAACGGACCCCCCCCCAGAACGCGATTGCGAATGGACCAAGGGGGCCCCGCTCCCTACCTCGCACCGGGCCCCGCATCAGCTAAGGACGGCCCTGATTTTAACCCATATGACTTTGTTGTTTCCAGGGAACACAAAGAGAAAAATTGTAAAACAATTGTACTGGCCGCACTTGTCCATGCAACCAAAAATCTTAAAAAAGGTGTCCGTATGACTTGTGAGGTGTATTCCAAGTCTTATGAGGGAGGTCATATAATATCATATGATAACTGTTGAGTTTCAGAGTCATTACCACAAGTTGAACATGTGAATGATTAATTCAGACCAATTTTATGAACTGAATCAACTGATTCTTTGAAAAGACTTGAACAATTTGTTCGTAAATCAAATATCATTAGTTCTTACAATAACATGGCAAACTGACCCATGGTGAATGTAAAACTCTAAATTTCAGCCATTTTCTCACTCAGATCTAATGAATGCATTCATAAGACTTGGAAAAGAGCACTATTCATATGGACCACCTTCATGATACTTTGATGGTGCTTTTGCACCTTTATGATTCTTATATTTCTTTTTGTGTGTGTGTGTTAAACAGAATCGCAAGAGTAAGCAAATGATGACAGAACTTTCATTTTTGGGTGAACTTTCCCTTTAACTCTCCATCCCTCTCAGTCTTAATCAGGTAATCTTTAGTGTGCATCCAAACCGTCGACCATCTCCCTTCACCTGTTTGTTCTGGCTCCTGTAGTGATTCTGTGTACAAGACTATAAGAGCTGACACATGAAGCAGGGAGGATGTCCCACGATTCTCACACATGCTCTCTTTACTGCTTTCTGTTGACTTTTTATTGAATTCAAGACAGACCAAATCATCAATGTGGCCATTTTTACATCAGGCTGTGTCTTTAATAGTACGGTGTCGAAAATGCAGACATGAAAGTCTTGAACTGGTTCTGCATTGTACGGGATTCTCATCCAAAGAAGGAAGAGGCCTGGGCACAGCTGAAGAGGCGACACTATCCGCTCTTCCAAATTCCATTTACTATAGCATCACAAAAGCCTATTGCAAATCGGAAAACAATTCGGGACGAAGGACATTCTTAGTTAACTGGCTTGCCAGTGATGTAACCTGGTATAACAAGAGTAAAGTGCATAATGCATGTCTGATGATATAAACTACCTTCATTTTAAATGTGATTGAGATCTTTTCATCAAGAACAGAGCTATACCTTATTGAAGCACAGTAAATAAGTCCTAAATGTGATCATTTCTAAAAGCTATTTTTTTGTGACAGGGTGGGGTTCGGGGTGTCGATTGGTGTTTTGTTTTATTCTGTTTTGTTTTTCAAGTGTTGATGGCACTCGAAAACATTAATATATGCATTTCATCATCTAACTGAAAACATACAGTGGGTACGGAAAGTATTCAGACCCCCTTAAATTTTTCACTCTTTGTTATATTGCAGCCATTTGTGGCTTTGCTAATCTTTCTATAATCAAACACAGCTGGACTCAAATGAAGGTGTAGAACCATCTCAAGGATGATCAGAAGAAATGGACAGCACCTGAGTTAAATATATGAGTGTCACAGCAAAGGGTCTGAATACTTAGGACCATGTGATATTTCAGTTTTTCTTTTTTAATAAATCTGCAAAAATGTCAACAATTCTGTGTTTTTCTGTCAATATGGGGTGCTGTGTGTACATTAATGAGGAAAAAAAATTAAGTTAAATGATTTTAGCAAATGGCTGCAATATAACAAAGAGTGAAGAATTGAAGGGGGTCTGAATACTTTCCGTACCCACTGTATATCCTGTATGTGAAATCTATGTGTATTATGAGCACTAATGAAAGCCCCTGTACAGCCCCCATTTTTCTGTCAGTGTCTATATTTCCTCTGATAATTTAATGCCAGTTGCTTTAGCAATACATGATATAAAAGCACTTTTAGAATCTTGAGCACATTCAAAACACAGAGCGTTAACCTTTACAAAAATGTTCTTGTCAAACACTCTGCGTTTACAACTTTACTGCAGATAAAGTGTTTATTCAATAAATATTATGTGAGGGACCAGAAAAATAAAGAAGCACAAACAAAAGGGAAATAATTATTGCTTGTTTTCTTTTGTGGTTCTGAACATCTGTATTCAGTATAAAGTGGCTCCAAAAGTGTGCGTAAAAATGTTTGAATTTCATTCCATTTAGATACAACATATTAAACTAAGTGGCATCCTGAAACAAATGATGTTTGAGTTTTTCTCAGAAATAATGTCACTTTTATTAGCCATTTATGACTATTTTTTTAACCAACAGGTCTCAAGGTGACTTTTATGTGATGTATGAAGTCAGTTTATTATGTAGAACAGTATCAATTGATTTATCATTTAAAACCTAAACTTCTTTTCGTGACATGTTTTCCTTGAGGGGGGAAAAACACTTGCTTTAATATTATATATTTGACATTATATTTGATATTTCTTTAAAACAAAAGAAATTACTAAATTTTTAAGTGTGACCTAAATGAGATACTTTCTGGGGCAAATGAGGGTGCAGGTATTTACCATAAAAACAAAAACAAACAAACACTTATATCAGTGATGTCAACTCTCTGTCCTTATTATGTTACTGCAGTAGTCATGATGGATGATAATGATAGATACGGAGGGGAATGAGTGTACCTGAAGCTGCACAAAGAGCATCTGGTGGAACATCTGCTCAGTCAGTCATGGTGCATCTCTGAAGATTCAACGGAAAGCGAAGCATTAATTAGCAGATGAAATACAAGCATAGATTTGTGTGTGAAGATGTTACTGAGTTGTGTCCATGTGCTGTGAAGTGATCTATTCAACTAGGAAAGTTTAAATTTCCAGTTATCCACTTGGATAAGTGCAACAGAAAGTCACTAGATATGAGACGTTCAACTTCAACAAATACAGTTTTACCAAGATGCGAGTCTTTGATTTTACGCAAACATGCCTTCACTCAGGCAGATGTACTGTACACATTCACATATTTACTTTTTAAGAGATAGTTCAGCACAAAAGGCTGCAAAAGCACTATAAATGCATCATAAAATTGTCCCATAAGTCTTGTGCACTATATTCCAAGTTATTAACTTCTTAACTTCAATTTCTGAAGTTCTTTTGAAGTTACATAATAACAAGAACAGCAAAGCAGAGCATACTTAAAGATTCAATAGATATCAGTCGATCGATCGACCGACCGACCGATCAATAGATTTTATGTATGTCCTTTTAGGGACTCCATAGAGCACTAGTAATTCAGATTTGGAAATATGAAAAAGTGTGCATCTAGATCATTGTGATCCAATACAATTTTGCTTGTAAAACCAGCAGAAAAGTAAGATGGAGAACCTGTTTCTGGATTTCCAAATCTAGATCATTCTAATCCAGATTAAGCTTTTTAAACAACTGGCCCTGGGTGTTTTGAAACATTGTGTTGTAGCACCCAGAAGATGGCAGACTCATCGTTTGAGGGAACACGTACATCAAGCTTAAAGTCCTCATCCTCAACACTCTTCAACATTAACCTAAACTTTACAATTTATGAGTCGTCCGTTTTTCCAAGTATTTTTTTATAAAATAAAAGTTAGCAACATAAACGTGAACATACACTTTACATTTGTCACATAGGTTACAGGTAAATAGGTTTACTTTGCAGGAATTAATAGATTTATGTACAGATGTTTATTTGATAGTGTATAAACTCTTGATAATGATTGCTTATCGATTGGCCCTACCACTATTTTCATCTTGGAAAAAAGATTCAATTGACCTGAGGTACTGATTATTCCGTGAAGACGTTTCCAGGTGTTTTGCTCAGAGAAATGAGATTCAGATGTCTCGAGTGAATGCTTCAACTTTCTTAATGTGGATGGACATTGTTAAATTTGCTCTGACATTTTTGTGATTTGCTGAAAACAAACAATACACACGTGTTTAATGTTCGAAATGCACTTATATGGGTTAAAATGGCAGGCAATAAAAAGTATAAAGCCTTTGTCTACTTTATTTTTCTTCCCTTTGGACACAGGAGTTTAAGGCATGTTTTGTTGGAGAAAAATTCAGTGGCACTGCCCTCTGCTGGTAAATATAGGTACGAAGCATTATTGAACTTTTGACAATAACAAGGGCAGCATGACAGCTCAGTGGGTAGCACTGTTGCCTCACAGCAAGAACGTCCCCAGTTGGAGTCCCGGAGCCAGGAGACCTTACTGTGTGGAGTTTGCATGTTCTCCCTATGTATGTGTGATAATAATTTTGATATAATAACCGGTAAAGACCCCCTTCAACCACTTAAAGTGTTTAATTAGTGTAGTTTATTATGGAGACCGAGACTATTGTATATTGGAGAACAACATGTTTACTAGCTCTCATGTAGAGCTAGCATCACTCAAAACTTGTATATCAAACTTATCTAAGCAGCAGGGGGCAATCCAACACAGGAAAGACCATATATGAACATAGCTTCCTTAAACACTTAACCATATCTTAAAGGGATTCTCCACCCCAAAATGAAAATGTTGTCATTAATCACTTACCCCCATGTCGTTCCAAACCCGTAAAAGCTTTGTTTGTCTTCGGAACACAATTTAAGATATTTTGGATGAAAACCAGGAGGCTTGTGACTGTTACATTGACTGCCAAGTAAATTACACTGTCAAGGTCCAGAAAAGTATGAAAGACATCGTCAGAATAGTCCATCTGCCATCAGTGGTTCAACCGTAACGTTATGAAGTGACAAGAATACTTTTTGTGCGCGAAGAAAACTAAAATAATGACTTTATTCAACAATTCGTCTCCTCTGTGCCTCTCCGCATCACCATAGCGCGCTTTTGGAGAATAATCACTGAACGCAAGCAGCGTACGCTATTCTGTGTCAGCCGTGACACAAGGATACGTTTTCTACGTGTATTTACGCTTTGATTTGAACGAAAACAGCGCATCTGTGCAGCGCGGTGTCAGGGTTCTGTCACTTCGGTCTAGTGTTATTCATGGTTTTGTGACAGAGCCCCGACACTCCTGTCATGTCTTGTTTTCATGTGAGCGCACGGCTTCGAGAGTGCTCGAGCCGTGCACTCTCGTCTGCGTGTCCTGTTTCACGTTGGAGTGTGGTGTTTGGATAGTATTGAGCACATTGAGCACTCATGTCTTGTTGAGTTTCGGTTTCGTGTCAGGGTCCGGACACTTGTGCTCCATGTTCTGTCTTGTCGTGGGAGCGTGCGGTCTCGAGTTCGCTCGGCCGTGCGCTCTTCTGTCCATGTGTGTTGTGTTTTGTGTAGCACACGGTTTGTGTTCGGCCACGTGCTTTTCTTGTTGTCTTGTGTTGTTGTTGCACGCAGCTCGTGTTATCGGCTGCGTGCTTTCATGTCCTGTTTTGTCTTGTGCTGTTTAGCACGCAGCTTGGTTTTCGCTGGCTGCGTGCTGTCTTGTCTTGTGTGAACGCGGCTTATGAGTATTCTCATTAGCTGCGTGTTCGTGTCTTTTGTTCAAGCTCATGGCTTGTGATTGTTTTGCTGGCCATGTGCTTTTGTTTTGTGTGAGCACATTTGCAGTCCCGTGCCAGTTCGTCATCGTATCAAGATCTAATGTATCTTGTCGCGTAATGTCCTGTCCTGATCCTGCCTTGCCAGCCTGTTTTTCCCCCATGGGGTAGCTTTTGTTGTTTGTTTTGTTTTATTTTTCTATTAAAAGCCCTAATTCCTCCTGCAATTGAGTCCTCGCCTCATCCCTCTACCCAAACCTTGACAGTACGAACTGGCCAATAGAGGACTCAGCAGAACAATGGGCATCTTCCTGTTCCCATCTCCCTACCCCTCCGCCCATCAGATAGCTGCTCAACGCAGAAGGCTCCTTTCTCTTTGGCAAGGGGGAGCCAGTGTGAAGGATTTTGCGTACCAGTTCCTGTTTGTAGTGGAGGGACTCAACATCAGTGATGCAGAGCTCAAGAACATCTTTAACACCAGCCTTAATGAGCCCGTCCATGCCTGGGAGATGGGAATGCTGGGGACACTGTCCTTCTGGCAGTTTGTGGGGTATGTCTACCACCGTGGAGAAGAGGGTGGCCTTCCTCCTCTTGGCCCTCCTCCCATTCTCCTCACAAGCTACCTAGTCCCCAGTCCTCCTATGACCCGCCAACGGAGGAGGAGGAGGAACAGGTCCGCCTCATCTGCCCCCATTACTGTAGAGGTTGAACCTGCCGCAGTGCCCCCAGAGGCGCCTGATATTGCTGCAACACCCCTAGAAACGCCTGATGAGGCTGCAGTGCCCCTGGTGGTGGCTGAAGATGCTGCAGCACTCCCGGAGGCAGCTGAGAAGGCTGCAGCGCCCCCAGAGGTGGCTGAATATGCTGCAGTACCCCCAGAGGTGGTAAGCTCCGTG